CACTTAAGCGTAATGTACATGTTATATTTTTTATAGAACAATACGCAAAGCACAAAAAACGTCAAACATCAAAAAGTGTTGCACACGAGGCTCTTACATTCGAGAATATTTTGCATTTTTGCATCCACTACACAAGATAATAGAAAAAAGTACGCAAGTTTTATATAATAAATGCCACCTCGAAGAAACTCGAAAGAAATAAGCCAAGAGGAACTATTACATGATATACTTCCTTCGAAGCTATTTGAATTATGCTATGAAGTTTGTTCATATCATAATAAGAGGCCTCCGTTAGCTGAGTGTCTACATTTATTTTTCCACAGTTGAATTGAAGACTACTTTTATGTATTGATTATTTGAAGGATCGTACATAGTCTAACAAGTTGGATTTTATCGGAACAATCGGACGTTATTACGTCACGACGTTGTACATGTTAAACATATTTACAATAAACGTCTCAATTTCTGTCCGCGTTATAATTTTTACTCACTGGCTTATGATTGCATATGAAATAATAGAAAAGAGAAACATTGAGTAGGAGTTGTGACGTGAACAGAAATTGGGGCATTTACTATGTTTTCATTTAGTAGTAAATTGGTAAATGAATCAGGATACTCACGTCCCGTTATCGGCGAGCGCGGGCTGTGGCCAAGCACGTGGCACCGGTTCCTCCTTCAGTATCTGCCTCATGTCCTGAGGCGCGAAAACGAGAGGCGCCCGCGGGTGGTGATGAGGCGGCGGCGGTGGCGGAGCTACGCTCGCCCCGTACAGCTTACGTCCCCAGTGGCCCTCGAGTTCCACGGGGCTTCCGCCGCCGGTGGTGGCCCCCGTGCCACCCCCAGCGCCGAGTCCGAGCCATGGCGACCCCCCAGCACCCACGATCGTGGAGCTGGGCAGGAGACCGCTCCACTCGTCGGACCGCGTCGTGAGGCCGTACGGACTCTCCTGTGGCAACAGGCTTCCTCCTTCTCGCTGCCACCCTTCGCGAGAACCAACTTCTTCCCGACTGATCGAGAGAGACCCTAATCTCTCGGTCAGAACGCTCCTCTCCACCGCCACGATTCTTCACGCCAAAGCATGAATCGAGTCGTCCGGATCTCGATACCTCGCGTTACCAATGTCCAATAATAGCGACACGCTAAATTTCGTACTACCTTGTCACACCATTAAATCGTTAGCCGACCGCGTGTCGGCGCACAACGCGTCTCCGTAAACAATTCTGGATCACCGGAGTCCGCGATCGATCGACACACAACCAGAGCGCTCTCCTCCGTTCCACTGAACACTGTTTGCTCACTCGACCTTGTTTACAAACGATTTCACAGTTCTCTACGGTTCGCTACTACCCGTCCCGGCGTTACCCTGTCCGCCGCGATCTTCACTAAATTTCGTCACTCACCCTGTCACTTTCGGTATTGTTCTCACGCAGCACTGGTGGATAATTAGTAAACAGTAACCTGGCAGGGATCAACAGACTCGAGCGTTCCGAGGAGATCTTCGGAGTCTGATCTTCGATACCGGTTGCTCTCGATCCAGTGTCCCCAGCGTGTACACGTGTGACTCCTCGGAGATTCTCCAACGATCCACTTGGGATGATACGATCGAGGAGGATAGGCGCGTGGAGCAGTGGTAATCTGAGCAGCGGGCGACGGTGGCGTGATGCGTATATCGTCGACACGAAAGTGTCGGCAGGGTGTCTCGTGACCAGAAGAGAGGTCCTTCGAGGTCCCTAGCCGCGCGTTGCTTCCCGTTACGGCGCCGCTTGTCGAATGTGTCAGGGCCGGCTCGAGCGGCGTGCCGCCGGGTCCCAACGGGGACGGACCTCGAGCACTCGCCGTGGGTGTGGCCGACGACGACACGGCGCAGCGACCAGTTTGTCGGGTTAGCCTGGCCCATCCACGGTTCTCATCCAATCCGACGGTGTTACGCCGACCAATCGACGGCCGGCGTCTCGTAACAACGACGCCCATGTCATATACTAAAGCCGGTGGCGCCACGACGGCGACGCCACGAGGCTGTCATTCCGGCGCGCGCCGGCGACGTTCGAGGGTGGATTTGCGTTCCTCCTCCGCAGGATCCGACCTCCGATAGACGAATTATACGAATAGAACGGTAAAACAAACGGTTTCGGCTTTTAAAGTCGATCGAATCTGTACTTTAATCGAGAAACAATGGAAGGACCTCGGAGAAATCAATATTTTTTCAATATTACACAAAGGAATTACGTTTTTCCGTTGTACTTTGCTCATTGATGTTTTGTATGTAATAACTTTATTACACATTTTAATATTTCAGAAATGGTTACAATCGTTTTCTAGTTGCTCTTATTCTCTATTTTTTCTATTTTACTGGAGTTTTATTTTGTCATACAACTGTTAGTTCAATTAAATTGAAGTCATTCTTATGACAATTTATTCTCATAATTATTAATGATATTTTTTAGTACTATTACTCAATTCGTATTTGATCAACTTAGAAA